AATTTAGCCCGTTTTAAGATTTTTGGTGGGGGAAAAAATCTTAAAACGGGCTAAATTCAAAAAATAACCACGCAGAGCCAAAGAAGTGCTATTTCTCAATGATCGGGTAAAATTTCGAGGCCTTATTTCACGTCTCAATGATTTTATTGAAATTTTTGATGAATCTCCATACATTTCCTTATAACAGGACACCACAGAAACCAAGCTTGGGCTACCTGTGATAACAATGGGGATTAGCTCAAATGGTAGAGCGCTCRCGTAGCATGCGAGAGGAACCGGGATCGATACCCGGTTCTTCAAATTAAGTTTTTTGCTATAGCTTTTTTCTATTTAAATGCACGATTACTTTCTGATCTGATCTAGGTTATTGATGTATTTAATCTTACAGATTTGTATGCTTTGAACAGATGAACAGATGAACAGATGAACAGATGAACAGATGAACAGATGAACAGATGAACAAATGAACAGATGAACAGATGAACAGATGGACCGATGAACAGATGGACACATGAACAAATGACGCAATAGTCACTGAGCCTAAGGCGAATAATTGCTTTACTATTTTTGTGTCTACTGCATATTAACAAGCAGTAGACACTATGCCATCGAGTTTACCCATATATACTTCATATCCTATTTGACTAGCGAAAAATATAGTTAAATGACAAGAAATAAATGACATAAAGTTCATTCCGGTGTAAGGGTTGTAAAACTTCGAATTACTTTCGGAACCCACGTGCACAGCTAGCGGCGCATGGCGAGGATAGCCGATGGTATCCGAAGTCCCGCGTACGGGCTGGTCAACTTGGTTGCTCTGTTTTCGACTGCTTACGACTTTTTGTCGATCCTGGAAAACGTTTGAACAACGTTTAAAACATGATTTGGTAGTGTCACGAAGGGGAAGTGGGGGAGTAATACTTTCCCAACAGACACAAAGATTCGGGTCGTTCTTCGGTTGCTTCCTTCTGCTTTATTTTCTGTTGGTTGTAGTACTTTACAATGAACTCATCTGAACTGTGGTTATGGCTCTTGACTAGCTGCGACTTCGTTGTGACCTGTGCTATCAGCTCTCACTCTTGCTCTCTTACTTACTCAACTTCCAACTGTCAACTGAACTGAACTCTGAGTGAGCTCGTATTTAAGTCATAAAAATTTACAAACTTATAAACTCAACTCTAGATCTGTAGGTATAGACCTCCTCGGCTTGGGCATAATGTTTTCACGTATCATTCACAAAACGATCATTCCTTCGTTTAAGACACAACACAAACAAAGAATCTTATTCTTCGCATGACATCTTGGCATGTTTAGGACAAATTTTCAAGCAAATCTGAATTATGGCACATACTGAAAACGCGTTTTTTGCTAGGGACCTAATTTCAGATTTTCTCTATGAAAGAAAAGAAGCTGCTTTCGAGTCTCCTTAAATACAATGTAAATTTAACTTTTCAAACTTTTTTTTTTTTGCCGTAGAATTGCTGTAAAAGAGCAAAAGTTTTGATAAATAGAATTAATTTTTATTTCTAGATGGTTTTTATAGAACATTGGAGTTTTGTTGTTTATAATTCCGAGCAAATTTGCATAAAAGTGCGGGTCATGATCAAGGGAGCGATAATCCTTGATTTTCTCGAAAAGAAAACTTATTTTGAGGAAATAAACTATGCTAGGTTTCTTATCTCAATAGGGACTATTGATGTGCAAAAAATAAAGAAAATCGATTTTTTCACTCCTGCCATAGTTTTTTATTTTTGCTCGATTTTTAGAGACAGTCTCTCTTAAGAACTAGGTTTTATAAAAATTGCATTTACATACTATAAAAATTTAAACTAATAACAACATTAGACTAATTACTGGTTAAGATAAATTGTACGTTTGTTTAAATAGCCAGGTTTTAAGCTCCCGTTTGAAACTGGTAATTGATACAGAAGACCTGATGCTTGGCGGGAGTCTGTTCCATATCTCAGGAGCAGTATTCGAGAAAGCTCTTTTCCCATATGTTTTAAGCCTGATGGACCTTTGGTTAAAAGATTTGATGATGCTGATCTCAGGGAGCGAGCTGGGACATATGGTTTAACAAGTTCACGAAGGTAGAAAGGAGTAGCATTATTTAGAGCCTTGAAGGTTAACAACAGTATCTTAAATTCAATGTGCTGCTCGACAGGCAACCAGTGCAAGCGAAAAAGAACTGGAGTGATATGATCATGTTTGTGACCACAAGACACGAGTCTTGCAGCTGCATTCTGAACATGCTGAATTTTTGCAGTAAAGATTTTGGCAAACCATACACAAAGAATTGCAAAAATCAAGTCTGGAAGATATAAGGGCATGGACAAGAGTTTCGCATACTTCAACACTGATATGTTTACGAATTTTCCGCATATTTTTAATATTATTAAAAATAATTTTTGATTTTTTCAATTGTTTTCAATAAAAATGTTATTTCATCTGGTTTTGAGGTGTTGACAAATTGGAATTCTCTAGATGACCTCCTCATAGGCATCTGTAATACTAAATATACTGCTTCTTGAGCACTGATCTCTACTGCATTAAGGAATTTATTCCCAATGTGTCGTACTTTGTTAACAATACCTTTGTTGCCAGAGTTTGCCTCTTGAGATGCTTTCTCTTGAAATTTGCTCATACCTCTTTGACCCTTTGTTATGTAAGACAAGATGTAAACAGCACAAGCATAACGATCTAAAACAAACTGTAAATCCATGTTGGCTCTCCATGCTTTTAAAAGGTTAGTGTTGTAATTGTTTATTCTGATTTCTGAGGGAGACCTTTTTAGTAACAATGTTGGGCGCTTCAAGGAGTTATTAATGGCCTTTAAATACTGATCTTCTGTCAACTTTAATATTGAAGAAATGTCTCAAAATTAAGAATTAAACGAGACTTACCTTGAAGTTGAAGTTTGATTGTAATTCTACCGATCCAATAGAGATACGTAGTAATTACGTATGCCTCGCTATAGCTTACCACATCTCCGGAACACGTAGGCCTATTGACATGAAACAAGTACCATATGAAAGCCTTTGTGCATTAAAAGTTTACTTTTACAGATATGTGTCGTCATGTGGTCATGCATATGCGCATTACATCTCATCTCAAATAATTCCTTTTTTCAAGTGAAATAATGGGAACAATGGATAATTTCGATGCGGACAACATCAACGAATCGAAGAAGGAGACGATGGAAACGATCACTTACCTCATGTTTTGTGTGACCAAACTGGATGACACTAAGATTGTGGAGGACTTAGAATTGCATCAAGATGCCTCACGCACGCACTAGCCTGCCTCCTGCGGCATTACATTAAAAGACATGTGGATTTTCTTTCAAAAAACGTGTAACGAACCTGTTCAACTAAGTATCAACGAATCATGTTTGGAGAGAGTAGATAAATTTAAACTCCTTGGAGTTTGGCATCAGAACAGCTTATGCTGGAACCATCACATTGAGGAAACTATCAAAGAAGCAAACAAAAGGCTGTATTATTTACGGGAAGTA